TAAAGAAGATGTGGTATTTTTATACAATGGAGTATTACTCAGCTATTAAAAAAGATAAACTCAAGGCTTTTGTAGGTAAATGGATGCAACTAGAGACCATACTCATAAGTGAAATAAATCGGACCCACATGTGTAAACATATTGTCTCCTTGGTGTAGGAAAGTGAAAGACTAGGTAAAACTCAAAACATGCAATAGACGATAAGAAAGAGAAACAAATTGCTCAAAGGAAGGAACGGTTGGGATGAGGGAAAGAAGAAAAAAAAAGAAAGAAGGCAAAATATAAATATATATATGAATAGCTGCAATTACTGTGTTGCTGTTGTCTAATGGTGTATTGAAATGAACAGTTAATGCTTACATTTTTTTATTTTCTGATCGATTTTGCATCCTTGTGTCTGGAGGTCTGAGCAACTGATTTGAAGGTAACGATATGCAATGGAATTACAAGGGTGAATTCCTACCATCTTGTCTAGTGAAACTCTGTATTATCTCTAGTGTTTTATCAAAGAATTATTTTTTTATTCTCTTTAATGGTTTGAGCAATCTTTCATTCTTACATCTGGTAAGCTGAGCGATGTAATTGAGGATAGCGATGTGTAATGTAACGACCACTGTTGATTTGTCTTCAGACAAAAATCACTTTGTATGTATCACTTTGAATGTTCTTGCTTTGATTTGTTTATGTGATACTGGTATGCTGCTACTGTTCTATTTTTTCATTTGTTTCTCATTTACTACTCTCTTTATTTGTTTTTTTTTTTTGTTGTTGTTGTTGTTTTTTTCCGGTAGCAGGGATCGGACTCACGACCTCGCACTTGCCAGGCAGGTGCTGTGCCGCTGCACTAAATCCCCAGCCCCCTACTACTCTAAAATAAAAAAAATTCAAAATATATGGCGATTGTTTACATTAATTATACCAGAGTAAATCTGTAAACATAAGAAGGAGAGAAAGAATGGGAAGTAGAAGAAAGGCCCAATAAGGGAATTAAGTAGAAGAAATAAAGAAAAAAATAATTCTCATATAAGAGTAAGTATAAGTTTGAAGGAAAAAGATTCTGAAGGTAGCAATAAAATGTAAGTCCGTTACATTAGAAGACATGGTGTCCAAGTTAGTGGAAATGTCACCTTTTCTTGTATTGATCAATTGAATATCAACCTGATGTAGCTGGCAGAATATTTGTTCCTTTTCTGACCATTCCATATGCATCATTCATTGATTCACTTAATAAATATTTATTGAGCACCTACTTTGGGCCAGGAATTGTCTTAATTCTTTGGAAGGTGGTGGTGAAGAAGACAGAGAGGTCCCTGCAGTGTTATAGCATATTTTGTAGTCAGGGGAAATAATCAAGAAATAAACAAAAAGAAAACAATTTCAGAGATGAGTTATAAAGAAAATATAACAAAAAAATGTATATAAAGAGTAGGTAGGGGCAGAAGGTGGGCAGAAATTTTAATTCAGGGAAGACTATTTTGAGAAATAATAATAAAATTGAGTTGTGAAAGACAAAGACCCAGAAGGGAGTAGCCAGAGACAGAAAATTTTCAGGTAGATAGAATAATTACAAATGCCTTTAGGTAGGCATGAACTGGGTATATTTAATAAACAGGAAAAGTACTAGAAAAGGGGAGAGTAGCAGCTAAGGAAAATAGTAAAGTAGATAGTAAATAGTAAAAAAGTAGGAACTAGAGCATACACAGCCTTATCAATAAAGTATCTTTTGGGGTTTGAATTATATTATTATGGCAGTGGGACACCACTGAAGGCTCTTGAGCAGAGAAATGACGTGATCTGATTTATGTTTTATAAAAGTTTTCTGCCTGATACCTGAAGCTTAACTGGTAGTTAGAAGCAGGACCAGAAGGAGGAAAATGAGTCAGAAATTAGGCCACACTACAAAGACTGATCAGAAATAAATTTGATATTTTATATTGTAAACCCAATCATCAGGATTTATTGGAGAATAGATTGTGGGGATAAGGGAAAGGGAAGAATAAATAATAGCTTCTGCATTTTTGAGTATTCAGGTGGAAAATGGTGCAGCTTATTGAAATCAGGAGTAGGAGAGGAACATGTTGGTGTATAAATTAAGTTTTCTGATTATGTATAGTTGAGGTGTTTCTTAAACATCAAAAAGAACTGTCAAGTGGGCCTTTGAAATATTAGATCTTGTGTTGGTTACTTTTCTGTCATTGCTAAGACAAAATACCTGACAAAAGTTACGGAAGGAAAGATTTAATTAGTTTACAGTCTGTGGAGGTTTCAGTCCATAATCAGCTGACTGCAAAGCCAGGTGGTGTGGCACAGCAGCTACACTTCAAGGCAGTAGAAGACAACAAAAGCAACAAGAGCAAAAAAGGAGGAGAGAGCAAGCCTCTTTTCCTCCCTTATATTGTATACAGGCTACCCAACTTCCAGTGGGTGTGGCACTCACACCACCCCCGCCATCTTGCACAGGCTCAGGATGTTTACAAAGTAAGGACTCTGGCCCCCTGCTGAGTCACCTTGTTTAACCTCAAATTGACACAATGAACAACATCCTAAAGGCAAGGGCATGTCTTCTACACACTGGGATATAGAACTGCTGAGTTACTTAGTTAAGCTTCTAGACTTATCAAGTTGACAGGATATATCAACCATTACAGATCTGAAGATAAAAATAGATGTTCATCAGTATGTTTTATTTTTCAGTGTAGTTACCTCTTTTGTTTCCTGCTAGGAAAAGGATAGAAGGTTTTGTGTTTTTTTTACACACTGGCTTCTTTTCAATGTTACAAATCTATTTGAAGAGAATGAGTATAATAGCAGAGAGAATTGAGGGTTATTTGTTATTTAAATATCTAATTTACTTAATAAGAATTGCTATACTAGAAAGAAGAAAGGATCCATCAGAATCATTTCATTGGGAGGATCTACAGAATTTGATAAACAGTTTGATAAGGAAAAAGGAAGAATTAATGATTTCTCTGAAAGTGGTACTGCTAGCTACATTTGGGAATATAAATGTTTGTTAATTTGTATTTTTGGTCCCAATTTTTCAACCATCTATATATACACACTCTTTGTCATATCATGCATGAAAACATTTCTGCCCCTAGACTCTTGAGTTTGATCATGTGACTAGCTAGGGTGTTAGCAGATATGATTCAAACAAAAGTTTTAAAAACTCAAACCCTTGAATTTTCACTCTTTTGCGTCTGCTATCATCAGGAGAGGGACTTTCCTATGCTAGCCTATGGGAGCCATAAGATACACATGAGGCAGAGACAAGACATCCTAGTGAGCCCAGTTCAAACCAACCTAAACAATATAACAAGCCAACCCCCATAAATTTTTAATTGAATATAAACATTTAAATTTAAATTTTAACTATTTTTAGAAGACATAGTATACCTATATTCTTGTGTAGTAGAGAAAAATAAAATTTAGAGACTGCAGGATCAAGCATTCCTAAATTTAATGTACACTTGTAATCTTAGCATTTAGGAGGCTGAGGCAGGAAGATTGCCACACATTCAGGGCCTTTCTGGGCTCCATAGTGAGTTCAAGGCCAGCCTGAACTGCTTAGTGAGACCTTGTCTTAAAAAATCTGAAATCAAATTGCAGTGCTAATTAGATGTGTTACTTTGTCATTTAAAACCTCAGTTTTATTATTCACTCAGTGGAAATAATAATAACAACTGCTTAGGGCTTTAGTGACTCATCTGCACCATTACTGTATTCATTTTGCCATTTACATGAGGTTAACTGGATGGAAAACTGCTTGTTTCACTTGGAACAATTAGATTCTTTTTCAGAAAATTCTAGAGAAGGAACTAAATGAAAATACTTTTCCTTTTTAAGAGTACTTACGGGTTACTTCTAAAAGCAATTTTAAAAATATGACTAATCACCCCTGCCGACGCTTGAGCAAACCCAACCAAGATCAGCAGAACCAACTAGCCAGTGCCCACTGTTCCTAGCAATGTGAATAACCTAGCCAAACCCAACTGCTCCCAAGCATGTCAGTAATAAACACCTATGTATTGTATGTCACTGAAATTCTGTGTTTCTGGTAATAGGTAACTGATATAAGACTAGGGAGGGAGAAAAGATTAGTCTGATTTTTGGACACAGGCTAAAGAGGGAGGAAGAACTAGCCTGATTTTTGGAATGATTACTTTGATAGGGCTAGTGTTAGCCAAATGCAGAACTCAACAACCACATATAGTCTACAAATCATCAGAAAATACATAGCTCAAAATGTGAATATGGTTGAGATTACCCAAGGAGTATATGTAGAGTCAGAAGAGGAAATTACAGCATAGAACTGTGAGGAAGTCCCATATTTGAAGGAATCATTTTGATCAAAAAAGAATACTCAGAAATAACTAAAAAGAGTGAGAAAATAGTTGTGCAAAAACTAGATTTTAACAGGGAAGTACCAGTTAGCAATGCCAAGTGCCCCACTGAGGCAAAATAGATATCTTTGTGTCCATTTTACAAATGAAGAAAGTGAGATTTGTGTGGGAAAATTTGTTATACATGATTATATATTACAAACTATGAAACAGCACTAAGGGTGCTGGAACCTAGATCTTTTGATTCTTAACTCAAGGCTTTAACATTTTTATCATATTATATTTCTTTTTAAGATTTTTATTTTTGTAAGTAATGTTTTTTCTTAAATGTGTACTTCTGTTAACCATTAATACATTAAGATGATTGTTAAATATCTTTTGTTACAGATAAAATGTTAGAACAAAATGATGAAATTTTAATATTTAGAACTAGATGAATATTAAAAAATAAGAAATTTATAACTGAGAACCTGCTGAGATTATAAAATAGTTATTACACTATTGCATGTTTTCTTCTATTGTATGCATCAATTTTGCTATATTTGATAAATATATATTTTATGTTATTTTCCTACACGCATTACCAACCAAAACAATGACTTTCCTCTCCTGCTGAATTCTATGAATTAATAATGATAATGCTAAAATATGTTACAGAATGAACTTCATGAACTTGAAAAACAAATAGCAGCAGTCTCTGCAGAAACTAAAGAAACAGAAAGACAGATTTATCAGCAAGATGCTGCCATTGAGAATTCCAAACTTCACTGTAGAAGCCTGGAAATTCAAATCAAGTCCCTACATACAGAAAATATAAAGCTTAAATTTGATCTAGCAACAGCCCAAGAAGATTTTGGCGAACAGATGAAAAGATATAATACATATTATGTAAAAATAAAGGCACATAGAGATAGTTTGGGGGAAATAGAAAGAAAATGGTCATTTATGGCTGAACTTTATGAAAAACGAGATCTTATTAAAAAACTAAAGACAGTGAAAGAAGAACTTGGGCAAGACCTCCAAAATCCAGTAAGAAACAGAATAACACAAACTCAGGTATGAATTATTACTTAACAAAATTTTTTCTGTTACTTTTTTTTGTAAGTACAAATATTAAACAGTAAATTCTTCATTAAGTTAATAAAATACCCATAACTATTCTATTATATTCAGTTTTCAAAAACTGGGTTAAGTACATGAGGTATGTTATAGCTATCCCAAATGTGCAAAGGTGTTAAGGAAGATTTTACAAGTCCCCTGTGGATTTATAAAGCTATATGATCAGACAGATCAGTTAATTTGAAGAACATGTAATTTACCAATGTTGAGGCTCTAGCTTCTGTGCTAATTGATCCAGACCAATTCCAATTAGTGTAGTCTGCTTAGTGTTATTATGCAAGCAATCTGAATTAATCATTATACCTTAAGCATCTTGGTATTTCTTGTATCATTTTTTGAAGACCGTAGCAGATACAAAATTAAAATATTTACCATTTCTTGCTAGAGACTTAAAAAATATCCTCTGCACTATTGCCAGGCAATTGCATCATAAGTTCATAACTACCACTTTCCTTTATGTCTTGTTTTTTTTTAGGTACAGTACTTTCAAATCTAATAATTCAAATAATAGTTATTTATCTTGTATACCTGTACAAGTTATATTTTAATCTTACTTATCAAAATTAAGTTTTGATATGGCTAGTTTTCTTAAATTATGGAAACACTGAAAATCTTGGATTTTATATTGCCCATTCTTTTTTGACTTGTATATTTTAAATTTTATAAACATATAGGAAGATATTTCAAAGCTAAAGAATAAGATTGCAACCATAAAAGAATCTATCATTGAAACAACTTATTTTCTTAAAGAAGAAAAAAAAACACATGAAAAATTAAGAAAAGAAATAGAGGTAAGTCTTAATTATCTATATTTCAATGTTTTATAAAGTTTACCATTTGGATAATCTTTTCTAGAATTACAATTAAATTCTATATTGTTCTTAAGCATATGGAAACAATAAAACAGTGAGCTCGCCCCAAATCATCGTAAATATTCATTAAATGTATGATTAATATATAATATTATATTGAGAGAAACATTATGATTTCTATTTTTAAGGACTTTTCCTTTTTATTCTCATACAATCATTTAACTGCATTTTCATGGAGCTTAGTACAGCTTTTCCTTTTAATGGATGGAGCACTGTGCATAATTTTTCAATATATAAAATTCTTTAGAAGCATGGTTTAAAGTGTTTATAATGAAAGAACACAAAAGTATATTCTTGGGCCTTAATAAATATGTCTGTTTTCATTAGTACTACCTAAAAGTATCATTATATTTTCCAGAAAAGCATTTTTAAAAATCTTTGGCTTTATACAACTAATATTCATATATTTTATTTAAAATTATAAAAGCAGATTTGGGAAGTAGTTAAGAAAAGACAATTTTCATGGTTTTCTTAAATACAATGGACCCTCAAGTTATGACCAGCATCAAATACAAACAACTTAAGTTATGATCAGAATTTTAGATTTAACTTATGACCCAAGTCTCGAGTTAAGACCAGAATGCCAGCCACTTGTCTGTTTGTAAACAAAGACTTGTGATGCCAGAGAGCATATGTAAGCATATATAAGCATCAGTCTGAGCCCAGATGCACATGTTTGTGGATATGATTTTGGTCAGTGCTTTATATAATTGCAATATTTACTGTTATCAAAATGACAAATACAGTCACACTGCTGTCTTGGGAACATCATTTTTTTTTCAACAATTGTACTAACTGCTTCATAAGAGTTGATCATTGATGTGAATAATTTCTTTCCCAAAAGAGCCAGTCTTTAAAAAGACAATGAATTCAAATGCCAGATTACTATTATTTCTTCTTTTGTTTCTTTTGTTTCTTATTTTCTCTCTCTTCTGAATATACTTAGTCATGGCCCTGATACATGTAATTCAAGGGTCATCTTTTGCCTGAACTATAGCATTCATGTTCTAATATTTGATGCTTTCTAACATTTTGTGCCTTGCATATTTTAGTTTTTATGTTAACATTGCTTTTACATTTTTAGTTCAGAAAAATGGAAATGGCTCTTGAAATTCAGTATTTTTCTGTCAAATGTTTTTAGTATTTCTAGGATTTATTTAAATTTCAAAAGCATATCCAAATATCTCAAAATGTCTCCCCCACCCTCTGTTGTATCTTTATATATTTTGGAAGGAGGGAGCTAAAGATAAAAAAGAGAATAAAGATAAGCTATGAGTCATTGACAAAAAATGGGGTAAGCAAAAATACAAAGCATAGAAACACAAAGCTTCAAATACAGAGCACTAAGCAATAATCAGTGATTTTTGATGCAAAAATTTAAAGTGTTCTTTGTCAAATTCAAGAGGAAACTGGAGCAGTTCGAACCAGAGCAGCTTTTAGCAAATGATAATGCTATAAGCAGTGTTTTGTTATAACACACATTGTGTAAAACACGACTTAGTCTTGCCTAAATTTTGTATAATCTTAGCTCAAAATTTCAAAGGATAGAGGAAAACATCAATGCACTTTCAGAGTTATGAGAAGTCATGAACAAAGCATGTTTACAATATACAGTGCAACTGCACAACTGACACACAGCAATATAATTGACAAATGCATTCATATATGCTGTCAGCGATAGAAATGATTACGTAGCTAGAAGCCAGTCCTATGACAAAAAACTAGAGTACCAAGGAAAATGTAAGCTAAAGGAAAGATAAGAATTATTCAGGTAGTTAGGTAGGTTACATGGTAACAAATTATTCTGTTTTGTAGAATGGACAAGATCCTATGTTCAGTATTATTGTCTATTTTTATTAGTTGAGTTCCTGATATTTTTCAAGTAATTTATATAGGCTCTCTTATTTAAATATCATGACATTTTTACAGAATTTCAGAAAATTTAAATATGTTTAAAAAGGTGTATGGCTAAGGATAAATAACAAAGCAGGATATGAATCCAGATCTGTTGGACTCTGTTTCTCTCAAACTTATTTAAAAATTGCTTTAATTGCTAGGAATATGTTCTCTTTGATAAAAATTTAAACATTAGAGGGGAGGTGATAATTGCTTTGAAACTACTCCCTGCCACATTCCTCAGTCTCATCACTCTTATAAATGGTACACACCCTGTGGGTGAACAAAGATTATATAAATTACCATCCATATAATTTAGCAACAGATTTACTTAATAGTCTCCCTTATGGATTTTTCATATTAGCATATATTGGGCAATAGATTTTTAATTGCTACAAAATATTCCACAGTATGATTATACCCTAACTTGTATAACCATATTACATCTGATATAATTTAAATGGTTTCCTTGGTTTTTTTTTAAAGTAATTTTGGAGTAAGCACCTTTTGCACCAAGATTTGGAGTGGTACTTTGGTTCATGCAAATACAGTGGTACTTTGGTCCATGAATGCTTTTGTTTGCAGACAGTTTAATTCACAAACAGAAGTATTTAGCAAAATTTTGGTTTTGTTTGCAAACTCTGCATAGGGACACAAACATGACCACTGCCATGTTTCCTACAAAAACACAAACATGGCCATCTTTGCTAAAACTGTAAAACAAATTAAATTTGTGAACCAAGGTATCACTGTATCTTAATAATTGTGACACAACTAACAACAATATCTTACATTTAAAATAATTTTACATTTTATGACTACTTCCTCATGAAGATAATTGGGAAAATATTCCATTTGGATTTGTTAGGAACCTCACATTTGCATATTAATTCCCTTCACATCCTTCCTTGTAAGTGAAACTGCATGTACACAGAGATAAAACTCTTAAGAGCTGTTTGGAAGCAGCACTTAGTAGACTGATGAGCTCAATTTAGAGACTTAAGTATCTTCTCACTACGGAATCTCCCTATTTCACTCTACTGCCAAATCTTAGGAGTGAATACCATTTCCAGAACTAAGTGCTAAGACAAAAACTGGAATAAGGACAAGATATTTATTCACAGACTCAAAATCAAAGGATGGAAAACAATATTTCATGTACGAGGACCCCGAAAGCAAGCAGGGGTAGCAATTTTATTCTCAGACATCTATCTTGCATATCTTCTTTTAAAATATTTTTCAAAAACAAGAATGAAATAATTTTTCAAGTAAAAGCTAATGAATTTGTTTCCAGTAGCCTTGTATTATAAGAAATGTGAAAGTTCTTAAAGCTGAAAAGAAATGGTACTGGAAAGGAATGGAAATGGAAAATATTGGGCAAATAAATGAGAATTTTTCTTGAACAATTTAAAAATCAGTTGATATTTAAAGATAAAAATTATGTTGTGTTTTATCACTATATACAATAAGCTATGTCTCAATCATAGCCCTTTCTTATAACATTCTTATATTTTACGTGAAGTGGTATAATAATAATTGAAGATAAATTGTAATATGTTAAGGGTACATATTAAAACTCATAGCAACTTCTTTTAATCTTTTTTAATTTTTACTTTTCATTGACATAATAATTACACATATCTATAGGACACTATATGATGTTTCATTTCACATGTGCATTTCATAATGATCAAATCAAGGTGATTATCATATACATTACCTTAAACATATATCATCTCTTACCACTTACTTGTGGTAAGAACATTCAAAATCATCTCTTCTAGCTATTTTGAAATATACAGAGTTTTAGTGTTAACTACAATCACTGTACTGTACCAGGGGAGACCAGAATTGTACCTCCCAGTTATATTTACTCATTCAAGATTTCCTCACCCGCTTCTTTCCTGCTTTCCCAGCCACCAGTTGCTATTATTCTACTCAGAACTGGCTCTCTACATGCCTAAGACTAAAACTAGATGCATGTCTGTCACCATGCACTAGACTAAAGTCAAAATGGATCAAAGATCTAAATATTCAAACAGAAACACTAAATCTGCTGGAAGAGAGAATAGGTATAACTCTTGAAGACATAGGTGTAGGCAAAGATTTCATGAACAGAACCCCAATAGCACAGGAAGAAATACAAAGAATCAATAACTGGGATCTCATCCTATTAAAAAGCTTTTGTACAATAAAAGGAATCATCAACAGAATTAAAAGACAGCCACAGAGTGAGAAAAATTTTAGCCAGTTGTCCTTCAGACAGAGGGTTTATATCTACAACATATAAAGAATTGAAAAAAATCAGACACTCCAAATTTAAAGAACAAATCCAAATATGGGTATCTGAGATGAATACACACTTCTTAGATGAAGAAATACAGGTGACAAATACATATATGAAAAAAAATTCAACACCACTGGTTATTAGAGAGATAGATGCAAATTAAAACAATCATGAGATTCCATCTCACTACAGAAAGAAAGGCCATCATCAAGAAATCAATCAGTAACAAATACTAGTGTGGCTGTTGGGAGAAAAGAACCCTTCTGTACTGTTGTTAGGAGTGTATACTGGTGTAACCACTGTGGAAATCAGTGTGGAGATTCTTCAAAAAACTAGGATTAGAGGTCCCATTCGACCCAGCTATTCCCCTTCTGGGTGTTTTCCCAGAAGAATTAAAAACATCATATGACAGTGATATATGGGTACCCATGTTTATAGCAGCACAGTTTGCAATAGCAAAATTGTGGGAACAACCCAAATGCCCATCAACTGAGTAATGGATAAAGAAGATGTGGGAATATATATATATATATATATCGTGAGATATATATATATAACTTGATATATATATATCTCAAGTTATATATATATATATACATATACTACTTGACCATAAAGAAGGATAAATTTGAAGCATTTCTAGGTAAATGGGTGCAACTTGAGAACATATGCTTAACGAAATAAATTGGACTCACATGTTTAAAATCTCATTGTCTCCCTGGTGTGAGAAACTGAGAACAAATAAGGACCAAAATGTGATTCTGATTTTGTAGGGTTTGTTCCTTTTTTTCAATGTGTTTTGTAGGTACCATACCTACCTCTCTAGTTTTTATTTCTCCCTAGTTATCAACAATAAATATGAAGAGTAATGATATCCTAGATCCAAAAGCCTTATTCTCTAAAGAACCACTACATCCTTACCTGCTTGAGGGTCATCAAATTTTTAACACTAAGACCTATCAGAGGAGAATACTACGAATAGAAGCTCACATATGGCTGGCCTTCAAGGAAGCTCAGGGGGTGATCTTTGTCTTCCTGAAGCCACTTCTGGACAAAAACTGCCTTTTAGCCTTGTGAATTTAGAAACTTAATCTGATTGTCTTACACTCAGGTAGCCCAGGAGAGATGTAGTAGAGTTTGCAAGTAACTGATATATAGAATTTATGCCAGTTTATTAATTTATAATAATAAAACTTTCAAGGAAACCAGGTAATATGTCAGTCATCAGTCTTCTCTCCATGGGAAAACTACTGCTTTGGAATCACATTATCTCAAGGTGAGTTAGTGAACATGGAAATCAAATCAGTTCTCTGGGTTTGAGTGTTTACTTCTGGCTGTGGGTATTTACGGAGCCAACCTCCATAACAAAATTTCACTTGTCAGTTAGATAGTACCTGAATGGGAGCTCCCCATACTTCCTTCATGAACCTGTTTTATACAGCATTCCTCACAAACCCGTTCTGATGGTTTATTATTTCTTTAGATATATTAATAAGTCTTGTGATATCTAGCTGTGGCTGGAAATCTAGAGCTCTCCTAAGGGGACTTTGCACATCTCTACTCTGCTCCATTGTATATTTCATAGCTTAACTATTAAGAATAATTTTAGAAGTGGGCCAGATTATATTTAACAAAGTTTATTAACAAAAAATTTGAACTAGTTATTTTATTTCTATTAATATATCTGATGAACAGGAATATAAGCATTTTTAGTGACTATATTCTCTTTTATGAATATATTTACTTAGATTATCAATGGATATATGTATATAGAATATATACAGTATGTATAGAGAAATACCCTCTTGAGTATATTCAATGTATAAAAATCTTTTGGATATGGTTTCATTATTTAATATATTTTATTTTATTCTAATTTATTTCTAGGCGTTTAGTCATTTTTTGTTTTGCCAACATATCAACAGGCCCAATCCATCAATTAGAATTAATTCTCTAATTATGCAGATATAATAAAAACCAAAAACTTAAAAAATATATAAATCTTATAGTAATTTATGTGAAATGTTAGCTGACAAATTCTTCTTTGTTCTTATAGTAGTGTTTTCAAATGCTTAGGTTGCTCCTGTTCCAGTTCCTCTGCTGCATAATGGTTTCAATGCTATTAGTTACCTTTTATTATCTTTATGCATTTAAAAATATTCTGTGAAGGAGTCCGTAGTCTTTGTCATACTGTCAGTTTATTAATTTATAATAATAAAACTTGGTTAAGCTCAATTTACATGCTAAGTTAGGTTGCAGTTCATTAAATGTAAGGAGGAAGCCTCAGATCAAATTTAGTTTCATACTGGGTAATTGCCTTGACAAATAGAACATATTCCATCATCGATGCTTCATTTGACTTTAAATCTCAAACATCATCATCACTCACCACCTGTTATTATTGGTCAAGTTTTTCATCTTTGATTTCTTTCTGAAAAACTGAGGATAAAAGTATCCACATCATAAAGTACCATGAGAATTTAACACTATAGCATAAGTGTTAATTATATAATTACTGTTTATTGTTCTTTACAATGAATATTTTTAATCAAGTTCTTTCCTCTTTTGAGTAGTCAAAATATCCCTTATGGCTGTTTACTAGTTATTCCTCACATTATCTATTGATGTGTTCTATTCTTTCATTAGGTACAGTATAAGAGATATGATGCAATTCTAAAGCGTTTACATTGTCAAGTGAACAAGCTTCAGTCAAATAGAAGACAATGGCAATGGAACATTCGACAACTGGAAAAAACTGCAGCCAATCTAAGGAAATCTATAGGAATGAAAAACTGACATTGCCATAGTGTAATGTCAACAGAGACCATGCCAACCAAAATTTTGGGACAGAATATTAAGAAAATCTTTTGGTTTCTTAAGCAACCACTGTCAAACCACTGTATTAATGGCAGATATATTTTCTCTTTTAAAATCAGTTATCCATTGGTTAAAGTATTTTTCCAACCTTATAATGAATAGCACTAAATAGACAACAGCAATCCTTCCAGGAGAATAGTGAAAGAGTCTCTGTGAATATTTACAGTGTGCAGCCTATATTATATTGAGAATGCCCATTTATAAAAATATAGTATTGACTAGCCTTGTATTCAATACCCTATAAAAATTTAGAAGAAAATAAACAATTGAATTTTCAGTGATTTAAGTTGAGATATTAAAAATGGTTATCTGTTTCAAACTTTTCATTAAATCTTTCTTTTTTATAAATGCCTTTATAGTAGCCCATAAATATTAATATTCACAATAATGTTGTTATATGTTTAATCCCTTAGACATTTTACTGTTTTCTTTCTTATCCAAGAAGGTAGTAACCATTTTCTTTGTTGTTAAATAAATTTTAGTGTTGCAATGCATAAGTTCTTTTGTTCATTTTCCTGTCTATAAATTATTCATATCCTGTAACTAAAGTTATAACATATCAAACAAACATAAAATCTTAAAAGAAGTGTTGACAACTACATTATATATATATAATATTTATCTATTTCCCCTCCCATATATATATATCTGTTCAGGGGCAACAAATCAAAGTTAATGTGCCTTTTTAAGATAAAAGTACTCTCTTTCATGATTTCATTGAGTCAAACACTTAGAAGCAAAAATCAAATATTAATTTAAAGATACAGCTTTTAAATATCCACTTGTAGGATTAAATGATTTCAAAGAAACAACATCAAAAAGATATTTCAAATCCACTTTCTCCTCACCTTTATATATGCCTGAGATTCAGTAAGAGTGTAGTAGATGTAAAATCTGATATTAATAATCTCATTATGTCTAATGTTAATAGTCTTAGCATGGTTTAGCATGGCTTACCATGGTTAATACTTCAAATGGCTTATCCTGTAACATAATCAGCTTTGGTCCATGGCTCAGAAACACAGCTACAAATGAAACTGGTTAAGCCTACAGATTGTGGGGAGTATCCATAATGTTTAACTGGAGACAAGGCAGAACCAGATGCTGATTATATAAGTATATTTTAATATAATTTGCATGTTAATATTTTTCAGACTTTATAGGTTTAGCTGTGGTTTGTGAAAGAAAAATTCTAGTTATCTAAACCTTTTAAAATATTTAATGGGATTCAAAATAGTTGTACATGGTAACTGTTATGGCTTTTATCTAAACGTCTCCCCTAAAGCCTCGTGTGTTCATAGGTGGAGCTTTTTGGAGCTGGCTGGTATTAGGGTGTGATACTGGGATTAAGGGTCTGTAGTACTAAATTAGTCCACTGATTGGTTTAACATAATTCTGGGTGTGATTGGCACCAATCAATAGGCTTATATCCTGGATGGACTATAAAGGGAGAGAGGGGAGGCAGGCCTGCTTGTTCCTTGCTGCCTCTTGACTGCCACATCATGAAGTGTTTCTCCTCTGTGATGCCCATTTACTATGTTGCTTTGCCTTGGAGTGAGCTAACTATGGACTGAAACCTCTACAAACTGTGAAGTAAACCGTTCTTCCTTTAACTTCTAGGTATTGCATATTTTGTCTCAGCAACAAGAAACTCACAAACTCAGACAATAACTAATACCTTGAGTTATTGCTTCAAGAGAATCCAGCATGAAAAAGCTGGCTGCTAGAAGCAAAATGTGTCAGTGGACACAAGAGAGAAGCAGACAGATCCAGAAATGACAGAGCAGTTTTAAAGTATTTACTGATACAAGCATAGTTAAGGTTGGTAGCAAGACCAGTGGGTCTCTGCAAGTTGAGTGCAAGATTGGACACTTAAAGTGAATTTCATTGGAGTCATAATGTGTCTGGTTTTATCTCAAGCTAACACGAATGATGTTAGATATACACCTGGCACTAACAGTGCCAGAGTCCAGTCATAAAGTTCCACATACCATGATAATGCTTTTGTTTATGTCCAGTATTCTGGAAAACTATACAGGGAAAATAGTCCAATGTTTTGCAGAAGCAGTTATGGCAGCTACAATTCAAAATGGGTGCAGTCAGGTCAAGATGATCCCTAAAGTTATATATTTGAAAATTCACTTTTCAATTAAGACACAAATCAAATAGGTTTACTCTGTTTCAACAGAGGACTTGAGAAAGCAATATTCCATGTAGTTTTTCAAAATATCCTTAGTAATAACATGCACATATTTTAAAATATTATGACAATTACAATACTTGAAAGAGAAAACTTTTCCTCTCTCTAATCTTGAAAACTACATCAAATAATGAAGGCTTTCAGATTAAGAAAAATGAAATCTTTAGGTAACTGCAACTCTGATTATTTAGTAGATATACTATTTTAGTATAGCTATAAAGTTGAAAAATTGAAGTAATTTTTATTTTCATATAATTGGACCTAATTTAGAATATGAGCTCTTATGCTTAGTGTTCTTTTGTCTCTTTTGTTACAAAATAAAATAACTGAGGCTGGGTACTTATAGAGAAAAGAGATTTATTCAGTTCACAGTTCTGGAGGCTGAATATCCAAACAATATAGCACCAGCTCTGGCATGGGGTCTTGCATTAATCAGCTTTTTATTACTGGCCAAATACTTGATATATACTGTGTAATGGAGGATAGGTTTTTTGGCTCACAGTTTCAGAGGATTCAGTCCAGGACTGACTTGCTCCAAAATAGGAACGTCATGGCAGAGGGAATGGTGGAGTAAAACTGCACATTTCATAGTGATCAGGGAGAAAACCAGGGGAATAATGCCAGAGAGGAAGGGGCCAGGGACCTGCTATAGTACCCAATGTCATACCACTATCACCACACAAGCCAGTCAAATTGACAACTAAGCTTAACTATCACATTCCACCTCCGGTCAACTTGACACTAGAACACATCTGTTTAAACCATATTTAACGTCCAAATAAACAAAGTAACACGTTAATAATTCTACCCAACATGATAGAAGTATCCTGCATGTAACCAAAAATTTAATAATCCTCTCTGTAAAATTTCAACAGTTCTACTGCTGCCTAAAAATCTAAGTTAAAGTCTGCTCAAAGACTATGCAAACACTTAACTGTGAGTGCCTGTAAAATTCCATGTTTCCTGGGGCTGGCATCTCCATCTTTCCTGGGTCTTCTCTGCACTTTCAGTTTCCTTTCTGTAGCTCCTACATCCCTCTCTCAGAGGCACACTCATTGGCCTCCCAGACCTGTCTTTGAAATCTAGATGCTTCTATCCCTTACAACTCTGTTGTTCTGCATGCCTGACCAGCCAGTATCACATGAACAAAGCCAACGTCTGCTGCCAGCTCAAGCTGTGGCTGGACCCCACTGATTATGGTCTCAGCAATCTCTGAGTGCCTGGCTGGTTGTACATGGTGAACTGAATCCTAAGGAATCAATTTTCTAGGTGGCCCTTCTCAAGAGGGGGACCCAGGAGCTCTCTTCTCAAATGAAAAGTTCATAATTTTGCACTGTTGAATGACAATGTGTTGGGTCCTGACAATTTCCTAAGATGCCATCAAGGCAGTTTTCTTCTCATCTCAGTTTAAAGTACTTGCTTTTTAAAATATGATGCTAATCTCTTCAGCAACCACACTTCATTTGACCCCAATTTTACATGAGATTTTTCTCAGACCAAAGTTTAAATTTTTCAAATACTTTCGCTCTGCTTTTTGGTACCAATTCCTTTTACACATCTAGTTATAAATAGCCAGTAGTGCTCCTAGTATAGCCTGAACATTAATCTGCCTTGAAATTTCCTTACCAGATCAATTTGTCCACCACCTTTAAATTCAATCTTACATAAAGTTTTAAGACATAGATAAAATGTAAACGCTTTTACAGAGCATAACATGCTTGGCCATAGTCCCACTCCCAATAGTTCTCATTTTCAACTGAAATCTCATGAGTCTAGCCTTTAATGTCCACATATCTATGAGCATTCTGGTCTTCTGAGCTGCAACAAAAAATAACCTTAAGGTTCTGTATACAGCATCTTAGGGAGTCTTTAGCTCAGATCTCCAAACCTTTCCAACCTCTTCCCACACACCAGTTCAAAAAACTTCTAAACAACATGACCAGGTATAATCACAGCAACAACCTCACTTCTCTGGTGCCAGTTTTTTGTATTAGTCAGCTTTCTGTCATGAGACCAAATATGCAACATATACAATTTGGAGGAGGACAAGTTTATTTTTCTCACAGTTTCAGAGGATTTCTTTTTTACTACCGGGAATCAAACTCATGACCCTGCATTTGCCAGGCAGGTGTTGTGCCACTGACCTATATCCCAGACCATAGTTTCAGAGATTTTAGTGCTTAGTCAGCTGGCTCCAAGGCAGGAATGTCATGGTGGAAGGATGTGTGAGAGAAAAGCTGCTCATTTCATTGTGGCCAGGAAGAAGAGCAGGGAATGGTACTAGAGGGAAAGAGTCAGAGCCCAGTTTCCAATGGAACCAAAGAGCCTATGGAAACTAACTGGGGTCCTAGGAAAACTATGAACACATGCCCCAGTGACCTAAGGGACCTCCCATTAGATCCTGCCTCTTTAATGTAGAGGCACCCAACACCATTACACTATAGACCAAACCTTCAGCACAGGAACCTTTGGAGGACACACTCAAACCATCATCAAATTATCATATGGTCTTTCTTACACATGCTTCTGGTTTTAAATCCTGTCTTTTAGATGAACACTCAGTTATAATTCTTTCTCATTTTATTCTGCTTAAAAGTGGTCTAAGTTTTTGGAGGATTTAAATTGTTTGTCATCAGAGGCAGAACTCTTTCTAGGATGCCATTCTCTGACTTCACTTGCCTCTGAAGAAACACAATCTGTTCTTCCTGGTCTTGTATATGCTCTTCTGTCTGTGTGATATCTGCACCTTTTTTCTCTAGTCAAAGTGATCAGCTTCCTTATCCAGTCACCAAACTTCTTCTGGTCCTATTTAGTTCTCTCTATATCTGGCTTTTATCTCTTTGGGGCATCTATCCATTTATTCTTCCCACTCAGAAAATTTCTGGTATAAACTGAATCTTTCAAATCTTTCATGGTTCTCTATGCTTTGAGGAACTCAGCAAAAAAATACTTTTTTAGCATTCAAGATAACAAATCTTCTAAAGCTGTGGTTTTAAGAAAATTGTTTCTAGCATGGATTTTAAAAAATCTTAATATGAAGCTCATAGGTGGAAAATTACCTCTTACTTCTCAGGAATATCTGTCATCATCCTAGCCTCCTATGTACTATTATCTAAAAGATCAGGAAAATGTAAATAATGTAAGGAAGTAGACAGAAGAAAGTCTCATAATTAATATTTAAAAATATGACCTACCACATATGCAATC